AATACAATATATAATGCACAAAAAACAAATGTAATAATAATTAACAAAATATAATAACATGGAATAAAAAGCACCCATCAACAACAAATAACCCACACAAATCATTATATAAAATGTAACAATTCTTACATGAATTTTATGGAGAAAGAACAACAATATCGACGATAAAAAAAATTTGCAAAAAAATACAACACATCAATAACAACAAATAGCTTACATAAAAACATAAAATAAAACAATAAAGAATGTAGCTTCCATCTTGATTTAGACATTCGATTGTGTAGTTTGCAATATGATGGAAGAATTAGTAAAACAAAAGAAAAAAATTAAATGAGATATAATATATATAGATGAGATTAAAAAACGAAAGGTCTAGAACATTTATAAGTTAATAAAAGACAATTAATATAACCAACAAAATAAGTCTAAAAATATCTAAATTTTTGAAAAAAAAAGAATTATGAAATAACTTTTTCACAAAGTGTCACATAAGAAACTCTATATTTTATTTTTAGATTTATGTAAAATAATGATGTCAAATGCTCAATTAAAGACATCTTTGGTTTGGAAAATTTGTTTTCATTTTGGAGAAAATAATGAAATACACATTTTTCATTCACGGGTTAAAAAAATATTTAACTTATTTAACATTTCATAAATTCAAAACAATGAGAAAATCTCTTTTAAAAATAATCTTGTGACAATGTCTCACACCGTTTATTGTATGTTTATTTTAATTAATAGATGGAAAGATGAATCAAGAATGAAGATGAAAAGGTTGGGGGTTAAACTTTTTAAAATTGCCAAGACAATTTATTTTCTAAAAATTCTATCGTCTTTTATATATCAAATATTTTAAAGAATAAAAAATCTAAGAAAAAAGAAAGATAAGTTTCATATTTTCTAAATAATATAATTTTTACATACCTTTTTAAAATCTTTTAAATTTTCTTCAACTCTTATTTCTTCATTACTCACCAAACAATTTCTACAAATTGAAAAAAATCTTGAAGTATTCAAAATTTAACGTGATTATCAATCACGTATAAATAGTTATTGTTAATGGAGCTTAAATTCGAAAAAGATTTATCATATCCTGTGATTACAAAATATCAAAAAAAATCTAATTTATATGATTCAATCATAAACACAAACATATCCCATTATAACAACAAATACAACAATATTGAAAAAGAAATATGTAATAACGAAACACATTTTTTAATGAATATAATTTCTATATACCTTTTAAAATCTTTGAATTCTTCTTCAACTCTCACCTTATTCATCCATCACTAAAAGAATTTGTAGGATTTCATTTTGTTTATTATTGAAACTTTGAAAAACAAATTTCATTAAAAAAAATAAAAGAAAGTAAATGAAAGAGCAAATCAAGAGTTGGAGGTTAAACTTGGGTATACAAAATTACAAAAAACCCCAATTAATTATGAACCATACATTCTTCATACAAGGGTAGAAAAGTCTTTAATATATTCAACATTTAAAAAAATAAAAAAATTGAGAAAAAAGATAGGAGAAGTTCTAAGCATTAGAATGTGTCACCTCATTATGTTTGGTTTCTTCTTTAATATATATATAGATTTGACACAAAAACATCTAATCCACCTTTCTTATACACTTCATTTTGTTCAAAATTTTCAATTCTTAACCAATGTGGGATATACAATTTCTACCATTTGGTTTGATTGGTTTTCAACCATGGTTATAGATTTCAAAAAGGTCATCCAAAGTAAGACAACCTTATGAGATAAACCTCATATTTGACACAAAGGCATTCAATCCACTTTTCTTATATACTTCATTTTGTTCAAAAATTTCAACTCTCACCAATGTGGGATATCTCAAACTCAACCACAATTCACTAACACCTCAATACTCAATTCTTATGATGTCACCTCAATACTCTTGGTTTTTCCTTTAATATACATATAGATTTCCAACCATGGTTATAGATTTCAAAAGGGTCATCCAAAGAAAGACAACTCTATGAGACAAACTTCATATTTGACACAAAGACATCCAATCCACCTTTCTTATACACTTCATTTTGTTCAAAAATTTCAACTTCTCACCAATGTAGGATATCTAATTTCTACCATTTTGTTTGATTGGTTTCCAACCATGGTTATAGATTTCAAAAGGGTCATCCAAAGAAATACAACCTTATGAGACAAACCTCATATTTGACACAAAGGCATCCAATCCACTTTTTTTATACACTTCATTTTGATAAAAAATTTCAACTCTTCACCAATGTGGGATGTCTCAAACTGAATCACAATTCACTAACACCTCAATACTCAATTCTTATGATGTCACCTCAATACTCTTGGTTCTTCCTTTAATATATATATAGATTTTATTTACATATATACATGTATATTTTTAGTTGCATGACAATTGAAAAAATAAATCATCAAAATTAAAGATAGATGAAAACTTTGAAATACAAAATACAATATTAAATAATGTGGTGTAATATAAATTATTACGGTTTGTAATTCATAAATTGTAATGTCATGTCCAACATAAATCTTTTGACCACTCTCCCCTTCCCAAGCCAAGCCCTTCCCTCCATTTAAAAATAAATGTTTCCAAGACTTCTTGATCCTAAGGGTGATACTCGATGAGGGGTAAATTAGAGGGTTGAGTTCCGGTAAGCGCTTACCAAGTCACATTATCTTACCGGATGAATACGGTAAGGACCAAAAATCTTACCCGGTAAGAGGGAGACAAGGACCGAGAGTCTTACCCGGTAAGTGCGAGCGACGACTCTTACAATGGTAAGCGCTTACTATGTAAATTGTTGCATACAATGCCGTTTTGGTGGACAAAAGTCTTACGCGGTAAGTAAGTGGTAGTATTAAATTTTACCAATAAACGCTTATCGGGTAAGTGTTTGGTAAACGGCCCCTAAGTGGGAGATGTGGAACATTTCTGACTTTTTTTTTGGCTAATATCAAGTGAGGAAATCGAACTACTTAATATTGATCTTATTTTTTAAAAGAGAAAGCCTAACTTATTAAAATAAATTCATTATTCTACATTGTATTTTATAAATTGTTCAATAAGAAATCACATTTCAACTTAACTTACTTTAATATATCTTCATACAACACGTAACGACAAAAACTAGTTAATGATTAACTTAAAAACCAAGTTGCCGCTTCACAAAACGCAAATTCCCACCCTCAAACACTGCTTGAAAATGAACAATATTAATTCAATAAGATGGGCATCGGTTTATCCCCTCTTATCCTTGTTTCTGTATGTATTTTTGTCCACCAATATTATTTAACTCTTTTATATTTATATTTAAAGTATCAAAATATAAAACTTTGACAATGTTTATATATTTATTATAAATTGTTGTATCGTATCATGAGAATTTTAACAAATTTTATTTTAGAATTTAAATACAATCATCTTTAAAAAAAAAAATTATCACAGAAAAAGGATCGGGCATTACGTACTTGTATTGCATAAAGATTAGCTTATTCTTTTTATAATTATATTGTATTGTAAAAAATTTCTAATATTATTGACAACAGTTTTCATTTTTTTTTAAATTAATTTTAATGAAAATGATATATTTAAACTAAGATACAAAAAATTACAAGTAACTAAAATTCAACTTAGGGTTAATTACAAATTTTGTCCTTTTGGTTTTATAATTTTCACGAAGAAGGTCCTTAATCCTAAAAGTTTATGGTTAGGGTCCTCAATGTTTCAGTTTTGTTAAGAATTGGATCATTAGCGGTAATTCCAGTTAAAAAAAGCTACGTTAAGTTAGGGTATTCAGTCTTTTTCTCCTTTTTTTTTAGGAATTGGGAAACCCTCCATCCATCCCTTGATTTATCGATGTCAACCCCATTAGAAATGAGTCTTTAACCCTAAACGACCATACGGATGGTTGAAGAAGTGGCAAAAACATTCAAATAAGTTGAAGTTGAATTGTGAAGGTCGTTAAAAACCAATGTTCTGAATAGTGTGGTGGCAAAACCAACCCTAAAACCTTAGAAGCCACAACGAGGTGACTAATGTTTTTCAAGACATGACTTATGACAACAAATCTGTATATCATATATAATATTATATACATATATGTATAACATGTATTTTATATTATTACTCAATGAATCAATGATAATAAATGATTAAAATTAAGTTAATAAGTTATATATTAAAAACTAACAAATAAGACATTAAAAAAAGTAAGTAAAATCAAATATTATGTTACAGAAAATGTGCATTATGCCATAATCTGCCACAAGCTTAACGTTGTGTGAGACACAAGCCTTAAGCCATGTCGCGTCATGGTGGTTGTTGCGGCGAGCCTTTTGGCGGAAGCCAATGTCTCGGGGTCCCGGGGACTCGTTCTGACTGAAACAAGGGGCGGATTTTTACCAACTTAAGAATAAATGTTGGACTTCTTGGATCCTTAGCAATTCATGCAAGGCTTGGTCATTGGGGGTCTCTAGAAAGTCCGTTTTATAAAATTTTATGATTCAAAATTAAAGTAAAAAGTGGCAAATATGAAAATAGGAGCTTATGTTCATAAAATTGCATAATAGTGTTAAAAACCCAATTTGTTGGCCTAACCCCCTTCCCAGATGAGTCTATAACCCTACACAACGGGTTCCAAGTAGGTTCTAGATACGTATTGTTACATATGGGTTTCAACTTTGAGTTTCACTGATGCTTTTTTTGTTTTAGGTTTTTGATTTACTTCTTATTCTTCATAAATGTGTTCTTGATTTGAATATTGTTTTGCTTGAGTTATAGACACATAACGAAAAACAAAAACGAAATCCTAAGAACTTTAGTCATGAATTTTTATGGTTATGGATCATACTCGTAAAAACTATGAAACCACAAGGACTAAATTTGTAATTTTTGTTTTATTAGTATTAAATTGATTGATCCCCTCTTTGAACCGAACAACCAAACCCTTTGAACTCTTGCGTATAAAACTCTTGGTTTTCTCGCACAACTTCACCCTCTTCCATCAATGGCTTCTATTCTCTCGCATTCCTCAACATTCTTGGCAATCTCCCATAAAAGGTCAGATTTCAAACCCTCAAACCACCAATTAACCCTTTCATTCCTCCAAAACAATCAATCCCACTTCATTTCAAAACCACATTTAATAAATAAAACCCCACCTCGTCCAGAGTTTCGCATAAACCCTTGTTGTACAGCAACGAAATCTTCATCAACAACAAATGGGTTTCTTGAAAAAGATGAATCTTTACCATTGGTTGAAGACTCCCCTGTGAAGTTCCTGGTTTGGGTATTTCTTTGGGCATCTGTTTCTGTAGCTTTATTTGCATTTTCTCCTGGTGATGCTAAAGCTCAACAAGCACAAGCTGCTGTGCAGTCCATTAAAGCTTCGGGTTTTGGAGTGAAATTTGCAAATTTCTTGAGAGGTTCGGGTTGGCCCGATGAAGCTGTGGTGTTTGCTTTGGCTACACTCCCGGTGATTGAGCTCCGTGGTGCTATTCCTGTTGGATATTGTTTACAACTCAAGCCTGTTATTCTCACTGTGTTATCTGTTCTTGGGTTAGTCTACTTCCCTAATTTCTTTTTCATTACTTGTACTGTTATTTCTCTTCATAATATCCATGATTCCATGAATATGCATAAACTTGATCTGGGGTTTTAAGGTTTTGGTTGTTTAATTATGTTTAGTGATCAAATTGGTGTGGCTATAAATCTTGCTTCTGAAATTAGTTGCAACTTTAGTATCCAAACAAATTACTTTTGTGGATTTCTAGGAAGAAATGGAGATGTAATCATCAGTTTGTTAGTTGATTGCTAATGCTGTTCGTATAAATCATGGGATTTGATTTGTCGGTTGTTTATTTGTGTTTCTTGATTGTGGCACACAATATTGCTTCACCAAATTAGAGATGAAGTTATAACTTTTGTGTTCATAACAATTTTTTGTGGATTTATCGGAAGAAATGAATGATGTGATTAAGGATCATTTTACTTGATGTGAGCAGCAAATTAAGATGAGACCTGTCGAATAAAATGTTAACTGGTGAAAACTAATAGGAGATGAGTGACAGGATTTCATTTTGGATTAGGTAAGTGACTAATGAAACTCGAATGCAGATCTTAGGCTAATCATCAGAGTAAGTATAGGAAGATATATGATGTCTTTGTCTCGATAAGAAAAAGGATTTTTCAAAGCGGTTTTGAAGTTGTATCAGTTGTTGATTATTTTTTAGTTGCAATTAGGGTTTATCTGGCCACACTCATTCTACACCTTACAACTACGAAAGGAACAAGTTGTAAAGATGTATTTTATGCTTGTCATCAAATTTTGTCCTCACATGTGTTGGGGATTTACTAAATATCACGTGACTTGGTTCTAAATGAAACGAGGGTTACAAACGAGAGAGAACCAAAACTAACGAGCAATAAACTTGGAAATGAAACACTCAAAGTGCTCAGAAATTGTATGCACTTATGTTTTCTCTCGACAATTCGGATGCACAAAACCCTCATAACGCAACTCAAGATTAGACCTAAAGTCTTATTAACGGATTTGTGACCGTATGCAACTCTGAAGATGCGTATGATTTCACCTTGTTCCACTTTTCTCCATAGGCAATTAGTGAAGTCGCCTAAGATGTCGCTTGCATCGTGCCAAGAATTGTTACAAGCATCCATGTGACTCAGATGCGACTTGGTGCAAGTCGCTACATAACTTCAAACACCAGCTCGCTCAGCTTGCTACTTTGGTTACTTGACAAATAATTTTGCTTTCTTGGTCCCTCAATGGAGCATTTTGTACCAAATTCGTCCCTGCTCTGTAAATGTTACTTAAAGTCCTTCAACAGAAGGGTGTAATAAGGAAAACACTGATAGGTCCCAATCAAAGCTAACAAAAAAGATGGTGTTCTCCTTGGAGCGAGAACTAAAGCGCAGGTCTTTTTAATTCAGTAATCTCCTTTCTCTGCTACATTTGCGGGGAAATATATTAAAGAAGGAAAAACAACGGTTCCTAAAAAACAGGCCATATCATATCCCTAAGAGATAGGCATTATTAACAGTGGCAGGAAAATAGCCAGAACTCCAAATTGATTAGTTCTTAAAGTTAATACGGTTCCTTCACTTATCATTTACCCTCTCCTGGAGAAGAACCTTGTCCTCAAGGTTTCTCTGCATCTTTCTCATCGGAGTCATCTGGGCCGGTACCCACGAGTATTGACCATTTCAAGTAGCATCAAGCTGTGATCCTTGACATTTACGACCACGAGAGAACTTGTCGCTGCAATTGAAACAAAGGCCCAAAGCTCATCCCGGATGAGCCTTATTATGGAAGAATTTGTTTTGGGTTCTGTAGGTGGCGGAGCAGGGAGAGTCGAACAGGTAGATTGTCTTGTGACTTGCTGTTGATGCACAAGTTGTTCATCTTACATTCGTGCAAGGTTGATCGCTTTCTTCAACGATTTTGGTTTAAACGTTCGATTGTCATCATCTATTCTGACTTGAGGCCTCCCATGAATGTTCCTACTAATGCCTTTGATGTTCAGCCTTGAACCCTATTGCCCAACCTCTCAAATTCCTTTTGGTATTCGCGTAGGGAGCCGGTTTGCTTTACCCACGATAAGGCTTCGTCAAAGTCTTTGCACTTGATAGGACTCGTCTTGAAAAATTGCCCATGTGACTTTCTTACCATCTTCTTGAAAGGCACAACGCCGACCATTGCCACCATTGATTAGCCTCCCCTTCAAGATGGGAAGAGGTCAACCACACCTTCTGTGGCCCCGACGTCTTTTGAAACAAAAAACTGTTCCACTTTGGCCAACCATTCTGCATGATCATCTCCTGAGAAGCTAGAGAACTCGGATTTGGTCACTTTCAATGAGGATATTGGCCTTCCTCTGTCAGCATCATCCCGGCTGTTATCTTTGTTATGGCGGGGGCAAATGCTATCTTTCTTGTTATCGATATCCTTTTAAGGGAGCAGAACATTGGCTAGCCTATGGACACTTCCCTCCAATTGGTGAAGCTTGTCGACAACACCAACTCCGTTTTGCTGACCCAGTCTTGAATTCCTCCCAGATTTGCCTCTAACAGCTCAATCCTCTCCTTGTTAGTTGCCATGAAGGTTATGCTCACAAATGATAGGTCCCAATCAAAGCTAACAAAAAGGATAGGGTTCTGCATGGATCGAGAACTAAACCACAAGTTTTTGTAAGTCAATACTCTCCTCTATCTACTACAGTCGCTGGGAAATATTTAAAAGAAGGAAAAACAACATTCCTAAAAGCAGGTTACATCCCTAGGAGATAGGCACTAAGGGTCCATTTACCAAACGCTTAACCGGTAAGCGCTTACCAAGTCACATTACCTTATCGGATAACATGGCAAGAACCGAAAATTTGACCTGGTAAGAGCAATAACAAGGACCGAGAGTCTTACCCAGTAAGTAAGGGTAATGACTCTTACCCGGTTAGCACTTACCAGGTAAATTGTTACATATGATGCTATTTTATTGACTAAAATCTTACCCGATAAGGTAAGTGATAGGGTTGAATCTTATCGGTAAGCACTTAGCGGATAAGTGTTTAAGTAAACGGACCCTAAAGATAGTGGCAGAAAAATAGCCTAAACTTTTAGTTGACTAGTTTCTAAAGCTAAGACGGTTTCTTGGCTCATCAAACACATTGAAATTTGTTAAATTTCTTGTAAACCTAAATATACATCATCAATGTTCTTCATCAATTAAGAACAGTTGAAACCAATTCAAATCTTGATAACTTGCAAGTTCTTTTATCATCATTGTTCATTATCAACGAAGAACGATTAAACCAAGAACATTCATAAATGATTACAACATTGCATGATAGAAAACCCAACTCATAAACAAGATACTCTTCATCCTTAACTCAACATTTGCTTAAGATCAAATTTTCTTTACAGAGAAGGTGAATCTGAAACTTCCCTTCCAGCGCCAACTTAGCTTACTTTCACCAGGTCATGCAAGAATTCTCAGTCTGCACAAAATGATCTGATTCGCTGATGACTCCTGACTTGGTAGATGGACAGATGGTTTGATGAACGTCAACCTCATTCTGCACATGATGATGTGATTAGCTTTCTTGGAGATGACTCTGAAATTGGTAGATAGACAGACAGTTTAATCAGCTTCAGTTTTGTCATGTACATAATGATGTGATTAGCATTCTTTGGGATGACTGACTCCCTTATTGGGTACATAGCCAAATGGCTTTTGAGCTTTAACTTCATTATGCACATAATGATGTGATCATCTTTCTTGACAAATATGCATGTCTTGATTTGGTCCCATTAAGAAAGCTCTCTTTTCAAAACGTTGTGCGTTTGTTTTGAACCTCTCAGTGATTTGAAGCCCAACAAGTTACTTATATGAGGAATCGCACTTTGAGAGTTCCATAGCAAAAGAAACTATCCATTTTCAACCCATCAAAGATGTTTCCTTAACGCATTTACAATAAACATTGAGATTCCGTCACTCATCAGCTATCCGAGTGAGTGCAAATCCATTGGCGCTTCAGCAGAGAACACATTTCTTTCTGCTGCTAATCGGTGTTTCTTTGAACCCAACATCTTTGAGCAGATTCTATGGAGACAGTGATGTTGATGGTGACAAAGATGAGTGGACATGGTTAGGATTTTGTTTATGTTGGTGAAGATGAGGTTTTTGCTAATGACCCTTCTTGATTCTGTAAACAAAATTGAAAGCTAGTTGTGTAGTTGACTCTATGGTATTTGACTGCTTTCATGGAGTACTATATTCACTCTTTATAAGAAAATCTAGCCTATACACTGTTACGTTCAAATACGAGACCCCACACCTCAAATTAAGCCATGGCTGTGTATGGATAGTCAGTAAATTGGCACAAATTGTCCATTGTGAGGAAGAGTGATGCAAGTGGAGTCTTATTTCTCGATAGTCTAGACTACGGCCATGTTCAGCAACTATAAGCTAGTTTATTGTTTGAGCTTATTGGAAAAGCCCCGATTGGCAAGTCATAAACTAGCTTTATGAAAAGCTGTCAGATAGCTTATTGGGGATTTGTTTTCAAATCTTTTTCCAATTATGCCTTTTATATTTTACATAAATGCCTCTTATATTTTTTTTTTATAGGTCACTTGACATTGTCCTCTAGCTCATCAGCTAGTTTATCAGCTAGTTTATATTTTACCAAATGTTACTAGTTTATCAGCTAGTATACCAAACATAGCCTGATAGATGCAGGCTAAAATTACAAAAAGAGAGGGGTGCTACTCTGGTCTCGAGTTTTAAAGATTCACTGCTCTTTCAAATGGGTCGAGGTGTGCTACTCTGGTCAGACCAGACAAACCCGGTATATCCCACCTGGAGGTGGGTTCTAGAGTGGGTAATATATACACAAACCTAACTTCTACCCTAAAGTTAGAACAATTGTTGCCATGAACATAGCATGGTACAAGTTTGGTGTATACGAGATAAAGTTTATGTGTTACGCTACCACACGAGCTACTTAGTCAAATAGTTATTCCTTTATCAAGCATAATTTTAATGGATATTTTCTAGCTCTCAAATTGAGCTCGAATCTTTCTTGAGCCGATCTCAAATTTCATGTTGGTATAACTTACTTTTGGGCTTGAAATTTTTGCAGGAACATGGTACCTGTGCCTTTCATCATACTCTACTTGAAACCACTAGCTACATTCCTGGCTCGAACCAGCAAGCCAGCGGCTCGGTTCCTAGACCTACTGTTCGAAAAGGCAAAACAAAAAGCCGGACCCGTTGAGGAGTTCCAGTGGCTAGGTCTGATGCTGTTCGTAGCAGTGCCATTCCCGGGCACCGGTGCATGGACCGGAGCTATCATAGCTTCAATCCTCGATATCCCATTTTGGTCAGCCGTTTCTGCAAATTTTTTTGGGGTCGTGTTGGCAGGTCTTTTAGTTAACATGCTGGTCAACATCGGGCTCAAGTACGCCATTGTTGCTTGCATTGTAATGTTCATTGCATCGGGGTTCATGTGGAGCATCCTTCGTGGTCTAAAACGTTATCTAAGCCTTTAGTTGTAGTGATGTATTACTAAATAAACTTGATGCTAATTTGATTCTTTGATTTCGATTTACTTGTTTATAGGTTCATACATGGTAAACGATCGTGTTGTATAACCCATTAATGATGCATTTTTTGATGAAATTTCAAGTTATGAAAAAAATCAAAATTAAAAAATTAGAGCATGTCAACAATGCATTCATGTGAAAATATATCGATTTAAATTGTATTTTAATAAAAAAAAAAGGATCAAATAAATAAAATGGTTTTCGTCTATTTGGTATTATTAGGCTTCGGTTTTTATTTATCTGACTTCGTTTATTAAAAGAGTTTGTGTGGTATTATTGGGTTTTGGTTTAGTTGACGTTTGATTCGGTGCAGATTCTAAGTGGGTGTTTGGTTCACATAATAGAATTTGATGGAATTGGAATCCATCAAAGGAATTTGACTTTGAAGGAATTGGAATGAAATTTGATGGAATTTGATCATGCATTTGGTTGGTAGGAATTGAAATGAAATCTCTCAATAGAATTGGAACAATCGTCTTTGTTTGGACCATCCCACATATCGCCCCACCCACACCCTACCAACCACCATGTTACTAATGTCGTCATCACAGCTATCACCCTGCCCCAATCCCTACCCAACCCTGTCCCCACCACTCCTGCCCCTGCCCCACAATAGGTGGGGTTGTTGGGGGTAGGCGGGGTGAGGTGAGCCATTGGAGATGGGCCAGTGGGTGGCAGATGAAGACTATAGTGGTAGGATGGTGGTTAGTGGTGGGTTGGAGTAGGGTGGGTAGGGTAGGTGGCGGGGTGGTAGATATGATGATGATAGTGGTCGGGTGGCTGGGGCCTGGAGTACGTGGGTATAATGACAACAATAGTAACATGGTATTTAGTGGTGGGTTAGGGTTAGGGTCGGATGGATTGCGAGTGAGTGGCGGTTGTGAAAGCGACAATAATGGTGAGGGGTGAGGGTTAGGTTAGGGGCGGGGGTGGGGTAATGGGGATGGGTGGCAGTTATGACGATGACAGTGGTGGGATGGTGGTCGGGTGGCTGGGAGTGGATGGGTATAACGACGACAATAGTGGCATGGTGGTTAGTGGTGGGGTGGAGTAGGGTGGGGTGGGGGTGAATGGCAACTGTGATAGCGACAATAATGGTGTGGTGGTGGGGGTTAGGTTAGGGGTGTGATAGTAACGGTAGTAGCATGGTCGTAGCAGAGATGTGCAGTGAGTGACCGGGGCCCGAGGTGGGTGGGTGTGATGACAACAGTAATGGCATGGTGGTTAGTGGTGGGGTAGGGTGGGTGGCGGTGACAGTAGTGGTGTGGTGGTGGTAGTGGGGGGTTAGGGGTGGGGCATCACAAACAGTAATAGTATGGTCGTTGTAGGTGTTGATGGAATTCAATTCCTTCCATTATGCTAAGGAATGATGAATTCCTTAACTTGTGGAATTCATTGGAATTTGAAGGATTCCATCCATTTCAAGAAATGAACCAAACAAAGGAATTGGAATTTGGTCAAAAGAATTTATCATTCCAATTCCATCAAATTCCTTCGAATTCCGCGAACCAAACCGCCCTTAAGAGGATTGAAATGGTCGACTCCGTCCATACATCTGGTTTATTGTTTATGTTTTTAGTACGTAATTTCAATTCCATGGGTTTAGTAACGAATTCTAGATTTTTTTTCATTCTGTTTTTTTGAGATACAGTATTGTGTTGTTATATTTTTACTCTTTTCCATTTCATTCCACCACAACATGAGTCACTGCTATCATCAATTTCTCCGCCACCACTGTATTTGAAGCCATCGTCACCATCAACATTGTCTTTGTTGTCACCATTACAATCGTTGCCGCCACTACAATCACATGTGTCCCCTCCACCACCCTCACTATCTTTGTCCTCGGTACCACCACTATTATCGTTGCCACCACTCTGGCTATATTCATGGAAACAAACATACAGATTGCAAATCCTTTAACAAATTACATTACTACTCCTGCCAATAATTAATTTTTTAATTTTTTCATATTCTAGTTCTTTTTTGTATATTTTAATTTTCATATTTTATTTTGTAAACCCAAACACCAAATTTTTATGAAGAAAAAAGAGATAAGGAAAAAAATATTACTCCCTTATAGCTTCTTCAACTATATTATCCAAAAAACACCAAATATGGTGGATCTATCATACTAAAAAAACTCAACTTTAATACCACTTTGGAAAAAAAAAAAGGCACCAAATTTATGGATCCCACATTAAAATAAGATATTTTATTTACTATTTTTAATAACAATAATTATAGTTTATAAATACATATTATAATAATAAATAATTAGTAATTAATTTATTAATAAAGACCTGTTAAAATAAAAACAATAAATTGTTAATTAATAAATTTTTCGTTAAAAAAAACTAATTAATTCAAATATATGTTAATTTATATAGATGTGAATGTATATAGTTTGTCTTATATATAATTTATTATATATATATATATATATATATATATGAGAGTTATTATCCAATTCTTTACATTTGTATAATCAATACAACTCAATTTCAACCGTTCATTTAATTTGATGAATATGAGATTTCATAAAAAATTTGATTGTTTCCTAATATAAATGATTGATCATAATTAATGAACTCTAGTCATCTTTCATAAATATTCAAAAAATAATAAATGAACTCTCATCATTTCCGTAAAATATCTCATTTAATTGGGTTGCATTGGTTGTACAAATGGACATGGTTGCATTTGAAATATATATATATACATACATACATATATATATATACACACACACACTATATTATAAAGAATTTGACAAAAAACTATTAAAAATCATTCTTCATGCATTAAGTACTGTTTATTAATGTCCTACTTAAAATTTAAGATTACAAGTAAATTGTGCGTAAGTACAACTTATTAAAGTTTCATTTTTAAATTCGTATAACTAACTGAAGATTAACATAATCAAATATAAGATAAACATATCATTTTAAATATAAAAAATCTAAAATATAATTAGGATAATCATTGAGTTCTAACAGAATCATTATCTTTATAAAAATTATATTGTTAAGTCAAAAATAAATTACTTCGCTATTAGACCTAAATTAAATTATAATAAAAAATTAAATAAAAGAAATTATACAAAATAAAGCTTTTAAATAGTTAATTTGACATTAATATCCATGTACTTTTTCAAAATCATATGATATCTTCAAAAAAAAAATTATTCAAAAGTAAAAACATTGTCTTTCTCAAAACCACATAAATGATATTATATTAACAGAGACAAAAATAAAACAAAATATTAAAATAAAGATAGATCTCGTTGCATTATGCGGATACCTTTCTAGTAATATTTTAATAGAGATGGTGGTGGTCCCATCTTTTTGCCGTTTAACTTTTACATGGCATATATGTCGTTCAATACATATAGCCGGCAAAAGAAAGATCATATGCCGGTCGGTCGGACGTTTTTTTTTTCCGGCAAATCCTTAGTTGAAGATGCTCTTAGATGGAATAAATAAATATTGGAAAAAAGGTGCAAGTTAGAAAATATACAAGGGGGTGTAAATTAAAGTTACCCGATGAAATACATGTGGTAGGTAGTGCCGTAAACGAACCAAATATTCAACGAACCGTTCGTGAACTGTTCAGCGTGAAGTTCATTTATGTTTGTTTATTTAATAAATGAACGAATGTGAACACGTTTTTTTTGTTTGTTTATTTAAACGAACGAACATGAATACGAGTCTCGTTCGTTCATTTATGTTTGTGAACGTTCGTTTACGTGCGTTTATATCCGTTCGTTTAATATATAATCTTTTATTTATTCAGTTTGAATTCAAATAATATTTATTTAAGTTTTAACTTTTTAGAATTTATTTAGATTTAAATTTTATTATCATTTTGTCTTTTTTGAAATTTTTATCTTTTCGTCGTTTATGTTCGTTTAGGTCTGCTTGTTTAACATGTTAACGAACAAACATAAACGAACACAAATACAAATATGTTCGTTCGTTTACCGTTCGTGTTTGTTCGATTAATTTAAACGAACGAACATGAATAAGAATCCGTTCGTGTTTTTCGGTTCGTTTACAGCTCTAGTGGTAAGTTTGGAAATATGTTTTTGGAGCAATTTATCCAATAATCATTTTTTTTTATGAATTGGTCTAATAACCAATAGTTATTTCTTTCTCTGATTTATCTAAATGTAGTTATCTTCATAAATGATATCTTTCTTATTTACAGACTTGACTAAAAGATAAAAAGAATGTAATTTTTAATAGGTTTGCAAGTGATACCTGTGTAATTTGAACAAATCACTTAAAAGGTATCACTTTCGGACATAGATAGAAATTATAAATATTGTTTCGTTTTTTTTAACTAGGTCCAAAAAATGTTAACGACATTTAAATAAAATCGAAAAATGGATATAGCTAGAAGACCCATTTATGTAAAAAGAAACGGTCATTTCGATCAATTTCCCAATGTTTTAATGTCTGTTCTGACTGACAACCAGGCATGGTCTCAACGTGGGCGCTGGTCCCGCTTTACACGTGCTGGTATCTGAATATTGGATGTAAGGAGAAAATTACAAGTTTCGTCCCTGTGGTTATTGAAAGTTGTATATTAGGTCTTTTAAACGAAATTATTATAAGTATGGTTATTATAGTTTCAGTTTTGTTAGGGTGCGTTTGGTACGTTGGACAGGGTGGGACAGRACAGGACAGAACACAATTGTCCTATGTTTGGTGTGGTTTTATGTGGGACTAACTAGAACAAACTAGAACAAGGGTGGGACAAGGTTGTCCACCCTTTACCCATGTAACTAAGTAGAACAAGAAACTTTTTACCACTTTACCCTCAAAAACCTCATACGCATACCTTCCTTCTTCCCCTTCACTCTCCT